GAGAGGCTTCACCAGAGAACAGAGTGGGGAGCAGAACAGTCAGATCGACGAAGTACACTGCTGAGGGGAGCAGCGGGTGGGTCAGGAGAGGTCTGCCGCGCCATGTGGTCACCTCCGGGGCAGGCGGGAATCGAACTCATGCGGAAGTGGCTTTAGCTTCTCAGTGCAGTGCTTTAACCCGCTGAGCCACCAGGGAGGGCCTCCTTTTTTATTTTAACAAAATTGCTGTTTAAAAAAGATCTTTGCTTCTAAGTATCTCTAGGATGTCATATTTGCTTTCCAAGGTGTTTCCTCTTTTTTTCTGATTTTTATTTTATTATTATTTTTTAGGGCATGTCTTCCTTTCTGTACTGGTTACAACTGAAATGTATTAAATATTTCTATTACCTTCTTCAGGAGAAGTTGGACATGAGCATATTATATTTTCTTTCTGAATTTGCAGTTATTTTCCTGACTCTTAGTTTGTATCTCATCTTCCTTGCCTGTGTTTATTTCTTTTCAATATCTATCTCAGTATAACTACTCAGCTTAGCATTTTCGATTTTATTTTCCTTCTTCTACTACTACTTCTGTTCTGTTAGTAAAAAAGAAAAAAAAAGGTATATTTTCAAGTTACTCCAATTCTTTCTTGATTCCTAAGGTAAGTCAGTCCCTTAGAGTCAGATCACAGATATTGACCTTTAAATTGCTTTATTAATGTTGAGGATTTTCAATAATTTCAGTCAGTTATTTTTCAATTTCAACCTAAGAAAAGGGCATATTTTCCTTATATAAAAAGTCTCCATTCCTTTTGACTTACATATCAGTAAAATCCACTTCCTTTGATTGAAGCCATAGTTTGAATCTCTGGACAATACTCATCATAGTTTCTTTAATTATCAAAAAGAGTCTACTTGAGATTGTGTTGTTGAGGGGAATAAATCTGTGGAACTGCAAACATAAGCTCAAGTCTGGTCTCATCTCCCATACTCTTTTGGTCCAAAGTTACTTGAAAATAGTGTACATGCACACACACACACACATACAAACATAATTTGGAGAAGCTGGTGTAGTATGTAGGCATACTTGTGTGGAGCTAGAATTTTAAGCTACAACTTCACTAGAGTTTGTAGCCCATTTTAAATTTAGCTGCTGTTCAAATTTCTGCCCTGTGAGCTTGAGATCTGGCTGAGAAATTCATGAAAGGAACAACCAGTGTTCTTTTATGACCTAATATTTCAAAAGCTTATTTAGAAAATGGAAGGCATGCCTTTTCTTATTGTCTGTCTTGTTCCAAGGACCAAATCTCTTGTGGCCTGTACTCATTAAGGCCTAAAGCTTAATGTTACTTCCTTTTAATGATAAAAGCTAGTCATTTTAGTACAATATAGCCCATTACAAGCTACTAAGGTTAATAAATCCACATGACTATGCTACCAAGGCCTAAAGTCTAAGTGGTGTTTCTGGACCCATTTAAGCTGTGTGTTAATGTTGGCCTCAATATTCTTTCTGAAGAAGCAGCTTTAGTTAAACGTAAGCAGTTTAAATAAAATGGAGTGAAAGGATATAAAATCCTGTGGTAGGAAATAAAATATATCTTAATTTGGAACTATTGTCTTACAATATAACATTGAATAATTACCTTAGTTACAAGAATTTTTCTCGTGTACTGTCATGTTCTAACTTTTTAGTCCAGACAGTATGGAAATAGTGGTACCCCTCAACAACACATTTCCTCAGGTAATCAGATCCTAATTTTGGCTGATATTTTCCTGTGGAGGTCTCTGCTACTGTAACAACTTAATTGTATCATACTGGTGGCCAATTTATATCTGTGATCTGTTGTTTCTCTGAGTTGTGCTTTTTGGGATGTTTTAGTTTTCTGTGGAAATTTTCAAAAGCTTATGAAGATGAGAATGGCTTTTGAAGGTAGACAGGTATGGAATGACTAGTTTTCCAAATCTTCAATTTCCTCATATTGACTTAACTTAAAATCTGTCTTTCTTGCTGACTTTTTCTTTCTCCCTCTTTACACACACACACACATACATATTTCATTTGAAATTTCATCTCAATGGAAGGATTATTTTTCTATGAGATATTTGATTGTCATTATTGTCTCCTCATTAGATTTTCTTGTAGGGACCAAAATAAAATACAGATATAAAAATGCTAAGGGAGCATTAATATAACATATGAGTGGGAATTAAGATTGTGGACCTTGTTTTTCTTATTCACTGGTGTGTTAGTCAATTATTGATTTGGGCATTAATTCACAAATGCTTAAGCATCAACTATGAGCCAGGTATTTGTGGGCCTGGAATAAGAAAATGAGTAAAGGCCCATTATATTGTTTTGTTAAGACTGCTGTTTAAAAAACAGAAATTTTCCATCTCACAATTTTGTAAACTAAAATCTAAAATCAAGAAGTTGGCAGTTCAGAAGAGGTTGGTTAATTCTGGCAATCTGTTCTATGTCTCTCTCCTAATGATCTTTGTCATTCCTTGGTTTGACATGTATCACTCAATCTCTACCTTCATGTTCAAATGGTATTTTCTCTGCATTTGGATGTGTCCACATTTTCCATTTTTCTAAGGGTACTAGTTTCATTGGTTTAGGGGTTCACTCTATTCCAGTGTGACCTAATTTTAACAGATTGTGCTTCAAGTGACCCTATTTCTAAATGATACAATATTCTTAGACTACTAAGATTGTGACTTGAGTCTGTAAATTGGGGGTGAGGCATGATTCAGTCCATAACACATTTATAAATTTACTTCTACCTAAATTTAAAAGTTATAAGTAAAGCCAACAAATTGTTAAATGAATTTTGTCCTGTTGTGACAAAAATGTCTTCATATACAACTGAAATGATAGATTTTAATTTAGGATTCTTAGCTCATGAGATTAGATGAGATGATTAGGGAGCAAAGTTTTATAGAGACGAGCTGTGGGACACTCTAGTGTAGAGGTTGTGGATACTGGATTCATCTGCACAAAAGACTGAAAAGAAGAGACTAGTATCAGTGAAGAAAAGAACAAGAGGGTGTGAGTTCCTGAAGGTTAAGTGAAGGACGCACATTGAGGAAGGTGTTATTATTGATTATGCAGCGTACTTCTCATTGGTAGGATATGTTGGGCTGGAAAGGGATGTTTTGACTTAGGTATGTGGAGATTAATTAGAAACTTGACAAAGGCAGCTTGTTTGGAGTATTGGGGAACTACCACATCCTTAGAATGTACCTTAGGGAAAATATAGAAAGATGGTATGAAAAAAAAAAAAAACAGAGACATTTTGAAAACATTTTGAAGAGTTTTGCTTTAAAGAGTAGTAGGATAGTGGACAATAATTTTGAAAGAGAAATGGAGAGCTGGGAAGTTTTATGTTTGCAAATAGAGGTCATAACATACTATAACCACAGAGCATCATAGTTTAAGGCTGAAGAAAATTATCCCATAAAGAGGAATGAAAGAATACTTCTCAATTAAGGGAATTCCAGTAATGTTTGTGAGAAGAACAAGGAGGATGAGAACAAATATACAAATTTAAGAGATTAGTGTTGGGGAGGAAATGAGCAGTTTCTGGTAATAAGTAACCAGGTAGAGTGTTACTGCTAGGTGAGGGGCGCAGTTTTGTGGTATGGGGCAGTTTTCTTTTGAATGATTTTTTTTAAAGTTTTATTTATGCAGACAGAACTGTGGTATAGGCCAGAGGTGTAGGGGTGGCAAGAGGATTCACCAGAAACAGAGTGGGGAGCAGAACAGGCAGTTTGACAAAGTACACTGCTGAGGGGAGCAGTGGGTGAGACAGGACCGATGACCCGTGGGGTCACCTCTGGGGTGGGGATCGAAGTCCCATTGAAGCTGCCATGGCCTGGCTTAGCTTTGCAGAGCGGTGCTCCAACCTGCTGCGCCACCAGGGAAGGCCCCTGATTTTAATTTTTAAGTGAAATATGAAGAAAAGCTTTTAACTTAGAGAAAATTAGAGGAGATGCTGGCATATTAGTGAAGAAAAGGGTGTGTGACCACTGTCTAGTAGAAAGGTAGAATGGACTAGGAACAGAATAATTGCTCAGCAGGATTAATGATTTACCTAACTTGCGTGATCATGTAGTTCATATAGCACCACATCAGATCACAACAGCCACTCATATATTTCCAAAGAATACATACACCAATTTTCACATTTTTTACATGGCTATATAGATGACCATGAAAAATAGTTTGTTTCTTTTCTAATTATATGCAGAAAAATACTGAGTAGAACAAGAGTTTTTCATTTTTTTAAATTAATATAAAGGACAGGAATTTAAAAAATCAGTTTGATTCTCTTTATTAAGATTGCAGCACAGTTCCTGGAGTTGTACCACTATGCATGTACAATTTGTAGGACTGTTTACTCAGGTCGTGATGAATGTGATGGTCAGTTCAGAAGTAAGGTAAATACTTGAAATGTAGAGAAAAAAGGTTTTGATCAAAAGAGAGAGTTTTACAGTTTGAGGAAGTGGAGTTAGAGGATAATGAAGTCTAAAACATGAATATTCCTCTGGGTGGGTGAAATTTCTCTGGATGGGTTAATTCAGTAGTGGTAAATTGGTATAAAAGAGGGTGAAAAACTACAAAGGAGTGTCTTCCAAAAATTGGATTTAATATTTTTAGGTATTTGTTTTGTTTTTCTGATAGAAATTAATATAGCATTCTTCTGGGGCTTACCAATTTCCTCAATAAACAGAATTATAAATGGTAATATAGGTGTTATATTTAATTAAATTTTAAAAATGTTCCATATATAATTGGTGAGATTTATTTATTTGCTTGTCTTGGAAGATACAATTTTAGGTATTGCTTTTAACTGCAGAATGAAACAATGTGACAACGAAAATAATGAAAACACAAGATGAAGTATGCTTGATTTAAAAGATTAAAATTAAATACCCCTTTTGTTATGTTACATATTGAATTTTAAATAATCAGTACTTTATGGATAAAAGATTCAAAGAAAACAATGAAACACAGGTAGAGAACAATTAACTATGAATGATTGATTCTGATTTCCTTTTCTTGTTTCTTTAGTATACTGTTATCTTTAACAAAAAAAGGTCCTGCTCATGTGACAGGGAAGCCCAGAGTGGAAAAAAAAAATACAAGTATTTAATGAATAATGTATATGTTCATAGCAATGGTCAAATTATACTGTTTCCTAGAGGATACCATTTTTCTTCATTGAGCAATACACTGCAGAGTTGGATGTTAATTGCTCCCACAAATGTAGATTTGCTTTTTACAATTATCATTAAGACATGTCCTTGGAGCTCTGTGACTGCATCATATACCACCTGAAAAAGGAAGGAAGTAATGAAATAACTTAAAATTATTCTCTTTAAGAATACTGGTTTTAATACAAATTTAATAACAAGTAGTTAACTAATATCTTGTACTTTGTCATGGGTAGGTCATTGTTGCCGAATTTTTGTTCTAATTCTAAAAATCTAAAAGTACTTTAACATAATGAAGTTTAATGACAGACTATTTCACTAAGAAACTTAGATTTTACCCTGGTTGCTTTAATAATTGTTCATCCCAAATTTAATAGATTGTAAATTACTCTCCAGGAAGGCATTAAATGCCCTTCACCTTTTAACTTCCTTGAATTTATTGTTCTATTTGGGAACTAGAACACTGTCTTTCTTTGATAAAAACTAATGAAGAAAGCAGATCAAACTCCAAAATTTCCTTGTGTTAATGCTTGTTTTTTTTCTACATATGAAGAAGTCACTTTGGTTACATTAATTTATTTTAAATTGTTTTTTCTTAATTATTAAAATAATCATTAAATAAAATAATGATGAAACATAAAAAATATATATAAAAAGGGAAAAATTACATTTCTAACTTGGGGGATAAGAATAGCTAACATTTTTATGTTCTCTTGTTTTTTATATATAATCATCTTTTAAGAATCTGAGTCATCATTATATTGTATGTACACTTTTTTGTCTTGTTATATTTCAGTTACTAGGCATACAACTGTTTTCTAAGAAGGGATCTGTTCAGCTGTATTTTATAATATCCAGGAAGTCAAGTCACAGACATTCCCACCAGATGCCTGTAATGGTAGAAACTTTAAAAGTGTAGTACTATCAGGAAATTATTAGGAGTATCCTGTGCTTCTGCAAACTTACTTGCTTTTTATATCCAAGCCACAGGATTAGAAAAAAATGTTTTCTGCATGTGCAAAAGGAAGCAGAAACAACAACTTAAGCCCTTTGAATCAATGGGGAGGCCCTCTAAGTATGACTGAGGTTTCTGTTCTATGCTGACATGTTCATCTACTATTTATGAACACATGTCAGTTGAAATTCCATTTAGGACACTCAAAGGAAATAAAAGGAGATACAAAGAAAGGGAAAATTATACTGTATTTATGGGTTGGAAGAATAAATATTGCTAAAATGGCCATGCTAACTAAAGCAATTTATTCAATGAAATTCCTATCAAAATTCCAATCATATTCTTTAATGAAACAAACAATTCTAAAATTTGTGTGGAACTACAAAAGACTGACTAGCCATGGTAATATTGAAAGGAAACAAGGACATATCATCCTCCATGACACACTACAAAGTGATAATAATCAAAGCAGCTTTGGCATGAAAACAGAAATAGAACAATAGAATAGAACAGAAAATTACAAAAAAAACCCCAGTTAATCTTTGACAAAGGAACAAAGACTACATAGTGAAAAAAGAAAAGCCTCTTCAACAAATGATGTGGGGCTATCTGAACAGCCATATTTAACAACAACAACAACAAAAGAATGAAAATACAACCAAAATTGGAAGTAGATTCTAATTTAACTTCATTGACAAAAATTAAATGAAAGTGGATTAAGACCTGAATCTCCTAATATATAGAGGAGTAATACATAGAGGAGAACACAAGCAAAATCCTCCTAATCAACAACCCTAGAGAGGTATATTTGAAACCTCAGCTCCAATGACAAAGAAATAAAAAACAAAAAACAATTCTTTCCCTGTAAGCTCAGAAAAGGAAATCCTATTAAGAGGAAAACGACAGCCTGCACACTGGGAGAAGATACCTGCACATCATACATCTGATAAGGGATTAGCTTCCAAAATATATGAAGAACTCAACTCCAAATTGACAAAATGGGACAAAAGCTCTGAGCACACTCCTCCAGGAAGAGATACACATGAGCCATATGCATCTGTTCAATGTCATTGTTACGGAAAAGCAAATCAAAACCACAGATACATCACTTTACCTTTTTGAGAATAGTCTATGTCAAAAAGATGGATGCAAGTTTTGGTAAGGAAATGAAGAAAAAGGAACACTCATTCCCTTTTGTAGGGAATGTAAATTTGTATAACATCTATGAAAAGAAGGAATTCCGTAAAAAAAAAAAAAAGAAAGCTTCTACTCTACAATAGCCAAGGCATGGAATACATCTAAAGTCTTACTATATGTATACTGAGTGGACTATTACTCAGCTATTTAAAAAAGATGAAATGGTGTCTTTTTGGACAATAAGGGTGAATCTTAAGGTAATAATGCTAAGGAAGTAAGTCAGAAAACAAGAGATAGTCATTGTGTGGCTCATTTGTGGAATATAAATAACAAAAGAAAACAAACTGTCAAAACACCACAAAAATAATCCTTGGACATGGAAGATTGTGGTGGTGACCATTTTGGAAGGTGGCTACAAGTTTGAAAGTCTCCAGGAAGGGAGAATGAGATGACAGTATAGTGGTGCCGGTGCTTTGTTGGAGGGTAAAAGCATGTGTATGTAGTGAAGTGTAAAGTTGTACTCTCAAATATATATTTTTGTATACAAATGGCAATCAAAAAAATTGGTGAAAAAATTTTAAAAAATATTCTCTTAAGGTTAGTTATTCTGATCAATGATTCACTTATCAAGTAAATAATTAAGGTGCATGAGGTGCAATATAACACATTAATGCTGTCTACCCTGCCTCGTGAGGCATTGCCTGGTTATCCTCCTATTCTAGAATCTTCCAGGCAGGAGAATATTTTTTTCAGTTCTGTAGGATTGTTTATTCAAGTTATTTCATTTCCTCTGTTGATTGAGTTCCTCTGAAATAACTGAGAATTTTATGGCATGCTTTAAAAATCACAAATCCTGGTGAACCTGGCTAGCAGTTTATTTTGTTTATTCTTTCAAAGGACCATCTTTTGATTGGATCAAGAAGATGTGGTATGTATACACAATGTAATATTACTCAGCAATCAAAAAGATAAACACATGCCATTCACAGTAATATGGTTAGAGCTGGAAGGGATCATGCTCAGTGAAATAAGCCAGAAAGGGAAAAGAAAAATATTGGACGGTTTCATGTATAGAAGGAATTTGATAAAGGAAACAAATCAGGGATCAGCAAGAAAAAAATAATTACAAATCATAATCAATAGGCAACTATAAATCAGAGACATTCTGCCATGAGGAGGACAGAGTAGGATCAAAATGGGTACAAAGAGCACAAGGGACTATGGTGATGGTGCACATGTGAATTGGTAAAGGGACTTCAAGGGGAAATTGAACACGTGAGACTGAATGTAGACTGACATAAAATGAAGACGTATGTAAAAAGTATATATAAAAAAATTCCAAATCCTACCATACCAATGCATCTTCTTTAACTGAAATGAGATGTGCAGTGTGGACTCTCAACCTTTCTCTCATCCTCGATTCATATCCTTCTAGGACTTGAGGATAAGCTCCCTTTCCTTTTCTCTACCATGGCTATTTTGAACTGTCTAAACCATCTTTCATTTTTCTCCCACAGCACTTCTGGCAGTTGAACTTATCCCCTACATTATAGAGAAAAATTAGATGAAGGGACCCTCCTAGTGTTACTGGAGGTAATGTAGAAAAATGGAATAAATGAGCATCAGGTCTTTAGAAAAGTCAGGTTAAAAATCTCTGTGATTCTTATAAATAAGCCACAGAGATGTAAATTTAAAAGAAACACATCAATAATTTATATTTACATGAATCTGTTGTCAACTATGCTTTCTCATTTGCATAATGGTAATAAAAAAAACTTTCAGCATTGTGGAAAAGAAAATGAAGTAATGTATATAAGCCTAACTACAAAGTTTGGCATATAATAAAAAACTAATACATTATCACAGCAGCAAAAAAAAATCCATAAAATACAAAAAATGAACAGTTAGTTTTTGGTATTTTGTGTTTGTTGAGTGGAAAAACATTTCTAGTATCTTGAGTCTGCCAGGTACTTAGCAAGCTGGAATGTTCAAGAAATTAATTTTGGAATTAATTGCTGTCCCGCTAAAATATAAACATTTGAACTCCAAAGTTTATGTGATACTTTTTACTGTGCTTCATTGTGCAAAAGCTATTTTGTTAAGAGTAGTTGGTTATCTGAATATATAATTGCACATCATTAATGATATGTATCTGCTTTATTGCATCTGTAATGCTGATAAAAAAATAAGACAAGTGCTTTTCTTACTTTTCAGTGAATAATTAGTGGCAATGCTAGAGTATAACAATGATGATTATGTTCTTAAACTTTGTCACAAGTGATTTAAAACCTATTTTGCCTTCACATAAACAGAGCCAAAAAGGCAATACTTTTTAACCCATAACTGTGTTACAGATATGTACCAAGTCTTCATTACCTTCTGTCAAATATTGAATTTGTAGTTTGCCATTATTGCATCAAATGAAAAAATGCTGGCTGAGGTAATTATCTCTTAACTTACATACTAGTAATTGCTATGTGTTATTTGACAGCATAGTTTAAAATAGAGGGTATTTTAGTGATTGCAATAGGAGAACAATCATATGGAAAAATGAAGCATGTCTAGCTGGTGGGAAGCGGAGAGAGGAGACACGACAATGAAAAGGCGAGTTCAAAGCAAGTGAGAACAGACTTGGTGGATAGAGGGAGGGATGACACGACATAGTTTACTGGGATCAGTGTGGCTTTTGGTGTCAGGCACTTCTGGACTTTGAAACCTAGTTATATGACCTTGGTTGAAATATTTGTTTCACAGTCTCAGTATCTTCACTTACAAATATAATTTTCATTGTTAGGTGATACAGATAACAATGGCTATTGCTTACTGAATGTACTATATACCTAGCATTGTAATAGATAACTGTATATATCTTGCAGAATATGTAGTTATCTATGTATCTTATTATATATATATATATCTTATAAAACACAGAATATTCCTATTTTGTTCTTTTAAAGTGCCCCCAGTCCAGCACTTGGTATATGTGCAATAGCTATTGTTCCCCTTTATACTTCATCTAAGAAAGGAA